GAAATACTGTTAACTGATGGTATGTGGAGGGGATTATAATCAATGTAATGAAACAAGGTATATGATTTGTTGAATGTAAAACTGATGCTATGCCCTATAAATTTTCACTCAATCCACAATAAAAACCTTAAAAAAAAAAGCAATGGTCAGGTCAAGATTCTGCCTCAAAAATGGTCATTCTCCCACATGACCCCAAACTCACCGGACTTATTGAACAGAACTGCATGGTTGTAAATGTCTGAGGCCAAGAAGATGAACCCAGGGAGAGGAAGGGCATGCTGTGGGAAGAAGTATTTTACACAAATTAAAAGGCAAACCCATTATAAACAGATCCGTTGTACAATGCCTGCAAGTTTGACGAGTTGTCAGACAAACAGAAAGTAAAGAAAGGTAGTTAGACTTAATATGTGAAATGTTGCCAGTGCCTCTGACCACCGGTACCCCTGGCACACTACCACAAAACAAAAACACACACAGTCAAATCCAAGCCATGCTGACCGCGTGTGTCTCAGGAGAGACGAATGCACCTTAGGGTCCTCATGGCTGTGACTTCTCAAAAGCAGATCACCGGCCTGTCTTCCGAGATTCCTTTCTGGGTGTGTGTGTGTGAACCACTGACCTCTCAGTTAACCCAGAGCTACTATAAAGGCCAGAATTACAGTTCTCACCCTTAGGGAGCGAAAATTGGAATTAGTGCACTCTCCTCAACAACAGGGATGGCACAGTTTAATGCATAGTCCTCCTGCCCAAAAGGATTCGCTACACTTCACTGTGTTTGACAAACGTTGGGCAAACATCGGATTAAACAAGTATGAAGTACACAAAAAGGCAGGTTTCTGGGTGTTTAGGAACTAGAAGGAAACGAGACTTTGAGGACAGATATGAGGTGGGGAGACAAGGAGGAGCAGAGTGAGGAATGAGAGGAAGCAATAGGCAGACGCATGGACGTACTTCAGACAAACCCCCAGCACCCCTGCCTCCACCACAGAGTCCACAGTTCCTTCACTGAGCAGTTACTATGTGCCCGGCCCTGAGCAGAGAGGGGCGGGGTGAACCAATGGGAATTCTCCCAGGTTCTTTACATCCCCAGAAGCACACTCTGGCTCCAATTAACTGTCTCAAATTGCTTGTTTGCAACTTCAGTACAAAGGTCAGGGAACAGGCCTCCCAGGGGAGGCAGAGGCTGGAGGAAACGACCTCACCCAGCCCTGGGGGCCTCCTGGTGACAGGCAGGTCCCCAGGCAGCAGTTCTAGAGCCCCAACCCCAAGAGGCTGAGACAGAGCTTCTGCTGTGAACCCATGGACGTGCCCCTGGTGGGCTCCCTCCTCTCACCACACCGCACTGAGCTTCACCCCCCATACTTTCCTAGCCCACTGCTTTGGAGCTTCCTTCCCTTCTGCAGGCTTCCATATCCGGGTGACCCCAACTTCATTGGAGTGAAGGCTCCATATCCCGAGGGGTTGTCCCTGCTTAACAGACATGTTGTCACCACGATGGTTGGGCACAGTCAACTCCTCTCGGGAACTGACTGGTGGGGTTGTCCCTGCTTAACAGACATGTTGTCACAGAATGGTTGGGCACAGTCAACTCCTCTAGGGAACTGTCTGGTGGCTCAGCGTGAACATGAACCAAGCAGCTACCATTGACTCATGGCACCCCCGGGTTGGCAATGGTGGATTTTTCAGAACTAAATCTTTAGCCTTCTGAGGCATCTGACTGGACTTGAACCTCCAGCCATTCAGTTGGCAGCCACAGCAAACTGAAGTGTTTGCACTGCCGCCCAACATTAACTCACTATTAAAAGTACTTCAGACTCTGGTCCCAAAGCAGTTTGCTGGTAGTAAACTGATCCTTCCACTACACGGGAGGGATGGTGCACTGCATTTGAAATGCCACAACACAACTTCAGTAATTTTCACCTTCCCCAGCTTCAAAAAGTTGCTTACGTTGTAAAACAGAGCCTCCTTGGGGTGTTTCCCAAATTGTTTGTACAGAGTTTCCTGGAATATGCCCATCCTTGCTGACGTCAGGAGAGCAAATGTTAGTGCCCCAATACCTAAAAAACAAACAACAGGTTACATGGCATCTGCATTTGCCCATTTCCAGAAATTTCCCCTAAAGAACAGCTATTTTTCTGAATTACACAGATACTATAAATCAAGTGTAGGGCATTTTACAAAGAAGTCATAAGAATCAGTCATCATGGTCCCGCCAGTTCTGTGTAGCTCTCTCTACAATGACGCACACACTTCACATGAGCATCAGATGGCATATGCAGTGGCTTCAAAAAGTTCAGGGAAAAATTCCAGTCTCTTTCCATTCCATTTTTCCACACTTTTTGAAGCCCCTCTCATATACAATTTCTTAGTTTGCTTTTCCCACTCTCTCTTTCTGGACTTTTCCTTCAAGTCATTACTTGTTTTGTTAAAAATTTTGTGGTTGAATACGAGTCTCTCATGTGGAGGTCAATTTCCTACAACGTGAGATGATTAGATGATTTCCCACAATTCCATCAATAAAATCCATGTACATACACCCTTGTGCATGGATCTTGAAACAACACGTTGATTATCTCCTTAGGATAAACGCTCCTAAGTGGACTTACGGAGTCAAAGGTTGGGAACAGTTCATAAACTCTGTACACCCCCTTCTGCCCCAGGATGGCTATATCCATTTCTACCCCCACAAGCTGCCTGGCAATGGCGGCCTCACAGCAACTTCAGCAGCAATGAGAATTACCATTTAATATCGTGCCCACGGTCCAAATCTGAATGGGGCTCAATCTGCATCTCTAGGGAGGTGGAGACCAAGACTACAGCGCATCGAGTCTCACCGCAGAAACTCTGTGTTCCTATTGTTTATAAATTTTTCTTACTGGGGATAGCTTTTTCCTAACAACTCACAAAAAGCTCTCTGAATGCTAAGAGTGGTGGTGGTGGCGGTGCTTATGTGCTGAGGAGTTGGTTCTGACTCCAAACTACCCTGCACACGGTTTCTGAGGCTGTTATGTTAATCTTTACGGGAACAGAAAGCCTCATCTTTCTCCGACCGAGCAATGGGTGGATTCGAAGTGTCGACTTGGTGGTTAACAGCCTAGTTCGTAACCTCTGTACCACAGAGCCCCTTATGCTAAGAACCACAACCTCAAAAGATAAGTTGCCAAGCCAGGAAACAAACTGAGCGCAGCTCATTCAGGCCCATTTTTCCTCCACGGAGTAAAGTCTCAACCTGTCACTGCATCACGTCTCTGGTCACACGTCGTGAGAACAGAGCTCTACAGCAGGGGATCCTAAGGAGCAGGCAGGTCTGGGAACACTGCCATACGGAACGGCAAACCTAAGAAGAAAATAAACTGAAGATTTGGGAATAGGTCCCTTGGAAACTTGAAGCGTCCTCTGCTCTAATGGACCTCAGGAGAGCAACTCATTGGTCAGCTCACAGACAAATGGATGGTCCCCAGACACTGCTCCCCAAGAGGGATAGGAAAGTGAGTGTGGACGCTCCTTTCGGCACCAGTGGCAATCGAGAGAGCAGGGCCTCGAGTGCGGACAATTTCTTTTTCTCATTTCTTGAACGGCTCTGAGTTTTTAGAGCTATGTGATCCCAGGAGGTCCTCTCCCCTGATATAATTTGCTTAGCCAAATCTTCTTGCCAAGAAACAGAAACCTTAGGAGAACACTCAGCCAACAGAAGCGCAGAGGCCGTGAGTTTGGTTGTAGCGAATGTACTTGCCTAGTAACCACCATGCAAATGCCTGGAATCCATCATTCTCCCTCACGCTGGTCTCCGAAGTCTAGGAGATAAGGAAAACCATGAGGTAGAGAGATACCAACAACCAGCAAGCTGCCCAGAGGTGAGGGAGATAGGACCTGCTGGCCGCCACTTGTCTAGGGAAGAGATGGGCTTCCTTGTGCCAAGTGGGCATCAGCATTTATGTCAATTCTAAGTACCTGGGCCCCCGCGGCCAGAAGGGCGCAGAAATGTTGTGTGAGCTGACTCTTACCACCTGCTTGGCTGACATGAAAGTGCAAGTGAATATCCCCACAGACACCAAGGCAATGGAGGCGTATTTGAAGACACTGTATCTGCCAACAGAAGAAAGAACAAAGTATCTCAGGTCAAGTGTCTAAACTTTATTTACAGTCAGATACTAAAACAGGACTCTCTGAATCCCTCCCCAGCACCCTTTACACTAAGGAGATCAACATGCTGATTTATGTCTAAACAACACACAATCCCAAGTGTCATTTCAAACAGTTTTCTGGCTTGTTTCATTCCAACAAAAACAGAAATAGACCAGACGTGACATTCCATTTTGTTCTCAAGTGTCCAAACCCAAGCCTGACCCAGATCTCTCGCAACTGAGATCTACTGTTTTTGTTGGTTTTACCCTGACTTTATGGGGCCCAACGCCAGGTCTTAGGTTATATCCTAAGGAAGAGGAAGAACAGAGCATCAGATATAAGTTGTTGTTGTTAAGCGCCGCTGAGTCAGTTTGGAATCATGGTGACCCTGTATAGGAATTCCAAGGAGTGGCTGGTAGGTTTGAACCACAGACCTTGTGGTTTAAACCAACCTGTGGCCCAGTGCTTTCTCCTATAGCACCACACCAGGACAAGTAGTGGGATTCAACTCAGAACAGGATTCAGTCACCCATTTTCCAGGGAGGGGATTATTTTTTCAAGTCTGAGACTGAAATTACTTCCATGTTGTTTTTGAAGAGTGCCATATATGGTGCAGTGAATTCATTCTCTAATGTCTCTTTCAGCCATGTTATCGTGAAGTGCCGTTGAGTCAGCTCCAACTCATAGCGACACTGCATAGGGTTTCCGAGGAGCAGTTCGGGGGTTTGAACTGCCAACCTTGTGTTTCACAGTCCAGTGCTGATCCTACAGCGCCACATCAGGAGTCCCTTTCAGTCCTAGTCTTTGCAAATTCCCACCAAATGGCATCTTCCTGATGGGGCTAGGGGAGAGGGGGTGGAGGAACATGCCGATGTGCCGGTTGTGGGTGGCTGTTAAAAACCGATTGATCAATGTTTCCATCCCGCAGGAAACAAAATGAACCACCTCAGATGCAGGAGGGGAGAATCTCCCTAGAATCAAAGTAGAGCTAGGAATGGAGCATGTCCTTTGGACCCAACACTGAACCTCCTTGACCCTGGGGCAGAAAGCTCGGACATCACAGCAGTGGCCGAAACAAGAGCCAGAGCACGAGGCGGAGCAGCGGCCTGCCCAGCCCATGGAGTGAGTGACCCTGAGGGACTCTGGGCAGGAGGTTTGCTTACAGACTGCGGAGCCTTACCTGGAGGAACTAGGTTTGCCGACCCACAGAATTAGAGCCGAGTGCCTTCAGGCTGAGGTTTATGGTGAAGTGGTGTGTCCTCAGGGCATTGATCAGAAGCCCTCAAGAGCTTTGCAAGAGTGCTGGATCAGGGAAGTGGCCAGGCCAAGGGGTAAGAGGGGCCTGCCTGTGGGCACAGCGGAGAAGAGGCTGTTCTTACTGGCGAACCTGCGCTGTAAGCATGTCTGAGGCTGAACTGTAACCTGTGAACTTCCCTAGTAAACTCATAACTGTGAAGATGGAGTCTGAGTTCTGAGTGGCCACTGCAGGGAATTATCGGACCCAGATGGAAGAAGAGAGTGCTGTGGGAGGCATGGTTGGTGACTGGATAAAGGGAGGGCCACTCCACACCGAGAGCAGCAGGCAGTCCTAACAGCAGCTCTTCACATCAACCAAATAGCATCCTTAGCATCTGAGACTAAGGTCACAGAGCAAAGGACCTCAGGCAAAAAGTAAAAATTAAACTCAAAAGGATTAGGCCAGTCACCCAAGGTTTTCTACTCAAATACTTTGTACTGTTCTGGACACAGCTTCTCATGAAAGGCCAACAGAACTAGCCAAGCAGCAGAGAAAGCAAAGTAGAGGGTCTAAGAGGACCACGCTGGAGGAGAGGCTGGGTGAGGACTTGGGCATTACTGAGGGCACAGCTACAAAGAAAGGATCTATGCAGACTGCTGAGGAGCCCTGCTGGCACAGTGGGGGAAGCCCTGGGGCTGCTAACTGAAAGGGTGTTCAAACCCACCAGCCACTCCACAGGAGAAAGATGAGGCTGTGAGCACCTGGAACGGTATACAGTCTCTGAAGCTCTATGGGGAAGGTCTGCTGCGGCCTAGAGCGTTGCTAAGAGTCGGTGGCACTGAGTCAACAGCAGTGGGTTTGGTTTGGGGGTTAGTCTGGAAAGTCAAAGATGAAGAGGTTTACAACTCAAGCCAAAACCAGAATGCAGGACACAGTGAAGGGGAACGGAGCTCTGGTCTTCCAATCGTGGACTAAAAAGCATACTGTGAATTACAGGGACTTCTACCCAAGACAAAGTTAGAAAGTTACTACGTCACTTCATTAGCTCACTAACTTCCAGAAGGTCTTGTTCTATGGGGGATGAACACTGAGATATGTCAAAAAGCCTTTGAGAGATTCAAGATGAAAGACCCCAAACAAGTTCTTAAGGGAAATTACGATACTGGAGAAAGACCCTGCATATTTGGGGTGAATATCAGATGATTCTTCTACAACATGTTCTTTTGTATCCCTGCTATAGAGCCAAGTCAAAGGCTGGAAGACCACAGGTAAGGCCCAGCGTGGTGATTTACTAACTACAATGCTACCAAGTAGCCCAATGCTCACTTAAACATAACAAATCTGCGTATCATAAACGGTGGTGGTGGTGGGCTGTGGAGTTGGTTCCGCCTCACAGCGACCCTGTATAGGGTCTCTAAGGCTGGAAATCTTTATGGGAGCAGAGAGTCTCCTCTTTCTCCCACGAAGAGGCCAGAGGATTTGAACTGCCAACCTTGCGGTTAGCAGCCCAACTCATAGCCTCATACACCACCAGGGCTCCTTAATATGATATATGAGGGGGTTTCCAAAAGTTTGTGACAAACCAATTCCATTATTGTTTAATTCCATGTTTCTACAGATTTTTGAAAGCTCCCTTTCGGGTATGCTTCAGTGCAGAGAAGCAGACGGAAGACATCAAAGACAAGTCAATTCTGAGGACTACCCCACCCTCAGGGTTAAGGGCCCACCCACGACCAGGAGAGGAGGCCTTTTGATGCCACAGCTGTTATTTATTAACTACAATCTAGGCCCTCACACTGAACTGATGGTGTGGTACCTCGAGTTTACTGGCTATGGCTAGTTTTCTAGCCCATGCCTTCTTAATTCCCACCAATTGACTGGGTGGGGCCATGCAAATAAGGTACACCGGACTCTAAGGCTGGGATCAGTTCGTTTTTTCCATCCAGTTAGGTTTAAAAGATGCCAACACAGAAGCAGGAACGGAAGATTCCGAGATCATCAATGAAGGAAGAGCATGAGTGGAGGGTGAGAGCCCTACTGGGAAAAGTGGTGAGGGCAGGGGCAGTGGTATGGAGAGACAGAGCAGCTGCGGGCTCTAGGCTCATAGAAGTCAAGGGGCCACAGGGCTGAGAAGCCAGACAAGAGGGAGGTGCGTCTGCGTGCGGCAGACAAGAGGCGTTCCTGACTGGAGAACTGCTGCGTCCTGAGTTGGTTTTGCTCCTGAGTTGCCTCCAGTTCATTTCCCTAATAAGCCCTATAACTGAATACTGTTATGAGTTCTGCGTGACCACTGCAGTGGATTACTGGACCCAGAAGTGAAGCAGAGAGTGCTGGGGGAGGGAGAGTTAGTTGGTGTCAGAATAAAGAAGGTTATAGGGTTAAAAAGCATGTCTGACTTCTGCTTCATAGGAATCAGCCCTCAGCTGAATGGAGTTTGATTCTCTTTCCCACCTGTGTGAAGTCAGGGGACATCAGACAGGGTCCCCACTTGGTTTAAGCAGACAGGCTACTTTCTAAGTTACTGCTGAGTTCCAGTATGTGGGCTGGGTATGGAAAACACAGAAAAGTTGGCATCAACTTGTACAGTTTGGGTCTTAATGGTGAGGGTCAACATCTCCTTAGAAAATTCTCAGATGTTACATGCACAGCCCTCCTCCTTGGCAGGGAGAGTGAGGCTCAAAAGGAAGGTGGAAGACACAGACTTTGAAAAAACACCCAAGGCACTTCTGATATTGCCCACCCTCCCCTGAGACAGGCACTGGCAACAAAATCACAAGGAACTGTTTTGAACCTCCCATCCCATCTTCTTGGCCATTTCAGTCTGAAACCTTCGACAGGATCACTATGAGTTGGAACCGACTCCGTGGCACCTAACAGCAACAAGTCCTAAGACAGCCGCCATCCCATCTTCTAGGCCACTGGGTCTTTACTGGGATGTCTCAGGGTTCTAGTGTTGCTGTAACAAAGGTGACAAGTGGCGGGCTCTAACAAACGAAACTGATTCTCTCACATCTGAGGAGGCTACAGGTCCAAGCTTGCGGTGCTGGTTCGAGGGAAGGCTGTCTCTGTCTGCTAGCTCTGGGAAGAGGTCCTCATCTCTCAGCCTCGGCTCCTGGGAGGTCTACATGCGGCCTGACTTCTGCTCTCTGATCAATGGCTCCGTCCCTTCTCTATCTCAAACGAAACGGACTCAAGACACACCGCATAGGAACCCGGCCTCATCAACACAGCAAAGACAACCCATTCTTGAAAGTCGACATCAATTGGCTTAGTAGGTTGTGGTTGTGGTTGTTAAGTGCCATCGAATCAGTTCTGACTTACAGTGACCCCGTGTAGGGTTTCCAAGGGGCGGCTGGTGGGTTTGGACCTTTTGGCTAGCAGTCCAGTGCTTATCCTACAGCACAACGCCAGGGCTCCAATAGCACTAATGATTCAGTGATGACATCAGCCCGTTAGTTCTATGCACAGGAAACCTTGCTCCAAAGTCACAGAGCACGACTTACCTAGTAATAGGCTAACTCAGAAATGTGCACAAATGCTCAGAAAGAGGACTAAGAAAAAAGATGGCCAAGAACAAATGTATCCCCACTGGAGGCGAAGGAATCCAGATGGGCAGCTAAGGGTGTTGCTTTAAGGATAGCATTCCTATACACAAAATACAGAAGTGCATTATTTACCTTTTCTTCAAAATGATAATTCCTAGAATCATGTTGGCAATCAGAGAACCCTGTGAAGGAGAGAAGGGAACAGAGTTAGTGCACGAGGGAAAGAAAGTCCCGTAATTCAAGGGGCACTGGGACAGGGACAGAAGCGGGAGGGGCAACAGGGGAGAGAGAAGGAGGCTCTGGTGAATAACGGGTAAAGCTCAGCGGCTCTTAAGCTAGCATGCTGCATCGCCACAAAATTCTATCACGTCAACGAATACATAAATGAGCATGGTGACTCTGCAAGATAAACCACAAAGTTGGTGGTTCGAGCCCACCAGTAGCTCCAAGGGACAAAGATGAGGTTGCTGAGTCTTTCTGCTCCCACAAAGATTTATAGCCTTGGAAACCCTATACAGGGTCACTATGAGTCAGAACTGACTCCATGGCACTTAACAACAACAAAGCAATAAATCCTTTTAAAGAAAACATTGAGAATAAACAAAACAAACAAACCCATTTTGCCATGGAGTCTATTCCAGCTCACAGTGCGACTACACGACAGAGCGCAACTGCCCCACAAGGTTTCCCAGACGGACAGACACATCTTTCTCCCAATGACCGAGCACTTTAACCACAGCACCACCAGGGCTCCTTGATAATGAGCATTTTTAAAAATCCTATTGTTGTGTGCCATCGAGTCACTTCCAACTCATAGCAACCCAGTATAGCGTTTTCCACAGAGCAGCTGGTGGGTTTGAACTGAACTGCTGACCTTGGGGTTCACAGTCCAGTGCGGGTCCCACAGCACCATCCCAGGAGTCCTAATGTTGAGACTAAAAGGGGTCAATCCTCACCTGGTCCTAGTGGAAGCCAGGACTAACAAACTAAGTGATATCTCAGACTCGCTTTTTGTCACAAATTCCTATCTAATGGTATGGCGCTGCCGGATTAGCACTGGACTACAAGATCAGCTTGCACTGCAAGGGTGGTGGTCCAAACCCACCAGTGGCTCCATGGAAACCCTATTCAGACTCGTGATGGGTTGGAACCGAAAGTGCTCTGACAACAGCAACAATTTGTCAGAGCTTTTTCCTAAGTGGCCTTCTTGCCCACCTTTCCCTAAGCCCAGCTGTAGTGAGAGAGGCATATGCGCAACTATCTATTCTCTGGAGGGTGTCTGCAAAGTAGCAAGTATCCTGTAAAGTCTAGGTAATCACTGCTTTGAATGTCTTCTTAGCCTTGGAAAGTCCCTTTGGGAACAGCATTCAATCTCAGCAGGACCTCGGACACAAAGTAATGTTGTTGCTGTTGTTAACTGCTAGTAAGTCATTCTGATTCAGCAACACTGACAGGGGTTCCAAGGAGACGCTGGTGGTTTTGAACCACTGTCCTTGTGGTTAGCAGTAAGTGCTTATCCTACAGCGCCACACCAGGACCCGAGTTTATCACACTTTCTGCATCCTTTGGGAATCCCGGACACATTTCCCTTCAAGTCTTTCCTGCCCTTCAGGAAGCGCTGTTCTCCTTTAGATACATGGCCAGCCGCCCTCATGAGACAGAGCAGAAGACTTCAACTGTGTGGGGGAATCCCACCTTCAACAAGAGGTTCCCCCTACTATTTCATCATCTCAAGCCTCTGTATACAGGGAATCAGAAAAGAAATGTACCTGCTTCATGTACTAGAAGCAAACAATGTTACGAAGATCACAAAAAGTGGTAAGTTAGACAAGATTAATAGCTAGTGTGAATAGAAAAATCAACTATCTGAAGGAAATTAAAGGTAAAATCTATTTCTAAGGGAAACGTTAATTTCCCTTTTAAAAATCATTCCTCAGAGATGAGACAAAAGGGATAAAAGCAACACCCCCACCCCAGTGCACACCACTCTTGTTCTGCCTGACTTTTCACATGAGCCAGCCTCAACGGTTACGCTGGACACCGAGTCTCACACCCTAAACCTTACTCGTTGCCAGGTCTGCCGACTCAGGGGTACTTTGAGGGGAACATCGGCGGCACTCACAGATCGAAATATCATATGCAGGGGCATGGCGATGTTGAGATTCAGGGCGTAGTTGTTCACCACACTGACGGTGAAGAACATGGTGACCATCACGATGTAGTACCTGCAGACAAGAGGATACCCTGTCACATAGAATCAACTACTTCCAGCAGAGAAGGAAGTACATTTCTGGCTAAAATTCACAGTATTTTGGTGATTTTGACTGTATTTGTGAACTGTCTCACTATGAGCACATGAACTCCCACACTGTTGTTAAGTGTTGTTGAGACGCATGGTGACCCCGAGTGACAGAGTGGAACTGCCGTGTAGGGTTAGCAGATTGTCAGCTCTTTCTTCCATGAAGCTGCTGGTGGCTTTGAACTTTTGAGTAGCAGAAGACGGCTTGACCCCTAGGCCACGTGGGCTCTTGGAAGTCCAACACTGAGTACAGACTAACATGGGAAACGTCTGGATTGTAATCGATGTTCAACCAAACATGATTTTGCTATTTTTAAATCTGGGTTTTTTAAGTGTTAACTAGTGGACATTACAGCTTTTTAAATGAACAGTTAATTTTTCTTAATGTACCAATTCTTTGTATTTAATTTTCATATACTTCAGAAATACCAAAAAATGGATTAATTCTCTTAAATACTCATAGACCCTCCTTATTCTTGTTTATATAATTAATTTTCACCATTCCTCCAAAAAGAATGTACCATGTTTTGAACCCAGCAATTGTTAAAACAATCCCATATCAGTAGGAACTGCCTGACTTATAAATATTTGTATTTAAAATCAGGGTGTTGTTATTTTATTTTGTTTGTGCTTTTTGGGTTTTTTGTTTTGAAGTTTAGAGGTCTAGAACTGAAAAGTTGATAACCCCAGAATATGCCTAAAAAACAGAAGCAGATGACCATATCTGCACAGGTCCAGAAACGAGATTAAACTGACTGAGGAAAATGAGCTGGAAGGAGACCTACACTCCATACTGAAAATGGGCAGGCTTTGGAAATGCCAGAGAAGGAATTCCTAAAAATGATTATAAAATGTATCAAAACACTATACAATGGAGTCGAGAAAAATAAGGAAGAAGTCAGGAAAGCGCTACAGGAATAATCAAATAAGATAAATACAGCATTGGAAACAATTCAAAACCTACAGAAACAGGTCCAAATGATGAATAATAGAATATCAGAAATCGACAATACACTGAAAGGGCAAAGGAGTAGAACTGAAGAGATAGAAGCCAGAACTAGTGAGCTAGAAGATAAATCTCTCAACACTACTAAGATAGAAGAGCAAACACAAAAAAGG